TCACTGCGACCAATGTCACTGAACCCACTGCAGTCTCAGAACCATACTTTACTTTAATGATGAGCTATTCAATCTTCTGAATCAATTAATTAAATTAAACCCCAATAAATCTGATGACTGATTTGATACATTTATTATTTAATCAAGATGTATTCCATGGGCCTCAGTGTTTATATATCAGTGACCAGTTACCTGAAGAAACTTCAAGTTATATCTAATGTCACTGATCTCACTGCAGTCCCTGAATCATACTTGACTGTAGTATTTGATCACATTCAGTCTTCTGGGTTAAATAATATGTAATTAGGCTTGAATATTAGCCTTTCAAGAGTTGACAGGGAAATGAAATCGCATTAGACTTCTAACCCCTGCAACTCTAGTACGGGACATCCGTCCTGTACGAACAGACGCACAAATGTGTGATTACTAACTACTAACATCAAATTAATGTAATAATTCGAAGGAGGAGTATCGGTGTTCGTCTGTTCTAATTAGGACTTCGACCCGTGAGCAGCCCCTGGGGAATTATGTCGGAAAATCCGACCCCATTTAATAATCATACAGATAATTGCTGTTGTATAAGCAAGTTACCCATAGAAAACGTAACTTGTAGTGGAATTACCGTCTATAGAAAACGGGATATCATCACCACATACTATTATAATTCACCAGCTATTCTGCTGGGAATTGTTCTTAAATACATTAGTCTTTGGACTTTACCATCATAAAAACATCTTATATAAATTAACTTAATTATCAATATTAAAGTAGAGTAAATGTGACCCTTCTATCACGTTCTGAAATCTGGACAATGTAAGCCAGGCGTCAGAGTGGAGGAGGAGGGCAGCCATCATTGTTTATATGAGACCAGAGGCTCACACGGGAGCAAATTCGGCTCCTGTTAAATTTACTTGGACGTAGTGTTATGGAACCCAAAGGTGTACCATTGTCAACACGCTGTCTACAAATACAAGTTAAGTGTCTATCCGAAACCCGTTTATCATTCATTTATGGCCATTAATGTCAGGATATAGGGTTAGCCGGTTAGAACGCGAAATCGCCTCAAACTAAAGGTAATTAAGCCAGGTCTTTAAGGTTCCATGTACTGTATAGTGTTTTCTCTGATATAGCTTGTCATATATAGGATTCTGGCTTCACAGCTAGCGCACTTTTGACAGGTCAAGACGAGGATGCAAGATTATGTGCACCAGTTACTGGGTGATAGAAGCTACCTCAAAGAGGATAATTTGGTGTCTACACCCTAGTTATACCTAGTGGACTAACCTGCTGTACTATAAGATAAGGAACCTCATCAATGTATGTAGCTATTCCTGTAGTTTGATTGGCTGCATATATATATATATAAATATAAACCCCCCCTAATGTGTAGAGGATCGATTTGTGAGATTATGAGATTATTGCAGAAATACAGTCCACTTATCATTATACAAATTGCTATCGAAGTATATAAATTAACGTAAATATAAATTCATATAAATTAAATAAATATAAATCTCACAGGTCGGTTCCCACATAGGGTGTGCAAATTTAGTTTTGCTGAAAAAAGTTCATATTTGGTAAGGTCTACACCATTATCTTTCAGGGATACTTATAGCCGAGCCAAAGCTGAGCAGTGCTGACATGGAGTCAGTTTATTTTATTGGACGATCTAAAGATGCGTGACCTTTTGCATGGTAGTATGATTTTGAGAGGGGTCCCTCACAGCTAGCCTTGTACCACATGGCTGCTGTGCTGAACAATGCTCTGCACATGAGCATTTGCGTTCGCCTATATCTGTGCACAAGTGCTTCGTGACGGTTGTCTACGGATTGAAAATAGCGTCATTCAGTAGTTCAGAATTCGTGTGTTTGGTGACATACGATGCCTGGTTATACTAGGACAGTTCATAAAACTAGCCTGTATGATCATGGCAGAGGGTACTCCACTCACCCTCCAGTAGGGTTTACCCGCCTGGGTCGCTCTGGGCTTGACAACAAGGGTAACGATCGGCAACAATCTGTTTCTACCTCTCCCCGCCACAAAAGTAAAGTTCAGAGCCCGGCCAATCAGAGGCCTGCGTATGGTTGAGTTTGCATTCTGATTGATGGGCTAACCTGTCAGCTATGACGAAAAATAATTAGGGTGCGAGCTGGTTCCTTCGTTGCTAGCTCCCTTGCCTCATTCTCACGGCTGCTGGCGAGAAAAGGAGACGTGTGCTCTCTCTTGAGCACTATCACCCTCAAAAGCTAAGAGTCTTGACTCCAGGCAACTCCCTGTCCACAGACGATGAAGAGCGCGCTGTATGCATGTGGTCTGCCTGAAGAGTGAGTACTTGTAATTAATTGTATACACATTGACTCATTTTGTGATGCTTAATTGCAAACCCAGTGAGCCTGGTGTATGGTTTTTGGCTATTTGGCGAGTCCAATTAGAGCATGATGCCACACAGTGCTGGTCCGGACCGAGCACGTGTTTTGAAATTTAATGTCCTAAACATCAATTTTGAGCTCTAAATTGTGCCTTTACATACGGCAGTGATGTTAGGCGGCCATTATTGCCGAGGTGGTCATTATACCAGTGTTAAGGTTAGATTGTGTTAGGTCAGTACTGTCAGCAATAGACATTATTGTGCATAGATTTGCCTATGACTCCTCGTAGAGACGATTATCCCATTTCCATATGTAAATATATTTTCGTTTTGTTTAATAAATTAGATGTTAAGCGCACATTTAAGGAAATACTTTCGCCCTTATCAGACACACATGCTGAATCGATCCCATAAACGAATCCTCGGCCTATACTAGCCCTAAGAAATTGGAAATTATTTTTAGGAACCGATTACTCTGATTTCCCTGCATCACCAGGTGGGAATGAGACACGCATTATATCAAACAAGATTTTTAGATTTTTGTACTGTTTCTCTAGGGATTTTACATTGTTGATAATTACTGTGAGCGGCTCTCACGCCGGTCCTAGCCTAGCTGAGCACAGTAGTGGTTCAACCTTTAAGTAAACTCGGACAATGATAGAATAGCTAGTGTATATTTAAATTTCAGGTTTTCGGTACTGTTTATTATTGATATTAGGCTGCGTATAGGTAATCTAAGGTTATAGTAGACTCATTTGAAAGTTTTTTTTCACAATCATGCATTCGGAAGCTAACACGAGATGGAATCCACATGCAATGAACTGGCAACTTGTAGCCAATTGAAATGTACATATTTTAAAGCTACTTGAGTGTCTTCCTTAACAAGAACATTGGTGGAGTTTATAGGCACAAATACAAGTAAAAATGCTTTAAATATTTATTTCGGGGTTGGAATGGAATTGAAGGAAGGAAAAATTATCAGTAGAAAGCTTTGAGCCAGCATGGCTGTTTACACTTCAAACGCCGACCCTGCTATAAGCGAGATAGTTGCTCTAACAAAATATGCTTCATTAGTTTGGTAAGAAATTTCAATTAATCAATAAGATGGCTTTGGTCAAACAAGAAAATTGTATAATTCTGACTTCAAAAAAGTGAAGAAAAATATTTAAGATATGCCCATGGATTAGCATATCAGTTGGGTAGTGCTCTTAAAACAAATTATGAGACGGCTAAGAAACAACTATAGCACCTTGTATACAGGCTAACCATAGCCCGTGCTACTTGCTCCGTTCCTGTGGCAGGTAAGTCCACTACGGGCTCACCATAGCCCGTGCTACTTGCCCCGTTCCTGTGGCAGGTAAGTCCACTACGGGCTCACCATAGCCCGTGCTACTTGGAACTTATGTTCCGAGTAGCTGAATCTAAAACAACAACAACAACAACAACCTTGTATAAAGGTTCCAGCTAAACTTAAGATGGTTAAATCGTGTAATGCAACTGTGAATTACAGCTTTTCCGAGGCTAATTGTGAGTTAATATTTGCATAAATATATTACTGTTTGCTGAATCTCTGACGTATCTATAAAATTCTATTTTGATCTTAGTTTTAATCGCATAGATGTCTGTTATATTTGTAAGTTAGTTATTATTGCCCAATCATTTCTATCCCGCCTGTGAATCGAACCCAGGATCCCCGATTGAATGCTGAGAACAAAGCCAACTGCACTGCCTTGGACTGTTAAGCCCAAGAAAAGTTCAAGTTTTATTCAATTGGCATTCTAAAGGGCATCATAAAAACAGACTAACCTTACCTATCCTAGGTCTAACATACAGACTTAATACTCTAGGAAAAGTGAGGTTTGGCCGTTGTCTTCTTTCTCGGATCCTCAATCAAAATTACGGGCGCATCCGATTCCACGATCGTCGTCGCCCCTAAATCAACACAACAAACAAAATTAGCAGCACAAAACGAAGAATTCTGTTGGGACAACAGCCAATATTTAGTATGTTCCATCCATAGTGGCTAGTGGTACTGCCAGCTTCGGATGACGAGGCTACAAAATTCTCACTTTTACTGAATTTTATCTTGTGTATATTTACATCTTCATTATACACACAACTCCTCTCTGTTCTTATCATACTGGCCTAGCAACCCAATCTGCCAGAGTCTGTCACGCAGAGACAAAAATATTTGTACTTGGTTTAAGGAAGTTTCTGGTTATCATAAAACCCCAACTGGTATTGACTAATATTAATACTGTATTAAACTGTTTTATTGGCATTAATCTGCGATCTACTTATTTACATCAAATAATAGTAACTAGACGTATACACTACACACCAGGTAAAAATAATCTTTCTTTTATATTGAATACTTGCCAAGGCGAGGACTTTGTCCAACAGCATTTCGACAGAGCATTGCCTTGATTCAAACAGCAGGCATTATTTACATAAGCTGACTTCGTGCATATACTGACATGTCCCAGCCTAGGCCTTTGTATTTATCCATTACGAAAACGTTTATTTTCCAGGTACTTTCCTGGCTCCTCGTGATTACTTCTCCCAAACCGTATACGCCATAAAAAGCTTAAAGGTGTAAATATTTTTTTACAGCAGCAGAAAAGTTTAATTTGTGGGGGTTCAGAGCTCTCCGCTGCCCCAGAACCTATTGTTGCCTGTGTGTCATGAAGCTTTGTGTCTGGACGCTACGAATAATTCAAAATCGTATATATTGAGCCAGTATTAAGTGTTGGTGAGAAGGCTTCCGCAACAATTGGCTGCGTGTAGTGTGTACATGAGCTAAACTACAGTGAGTCCAGTACAGAACGTCATCGTTGAGTAGAGTCGCTGGAAATACTTCTTCGATACAAGCTATCTTAACACGTTGCAGATATATGTTTAGGGTCAATTTATATATTGTATGTCATATCTATTCCCAGCCCTTATGCCTTCCGACTGACCCTAGCAAGTCATAAATACTGTTTTCACTGTAAATGAGCGTAATTTTGCTTATTTCCCCCTTGGCCTACTGTCTACTTCCAATTTAGAGTAGTATGTTTGTTGGTGTTGCTTTGGGCGACCTCTTCGCCGTATGCGACCTCCATCTGCGAGAGGACTGCGTGGTCGGCTGTCTTGGTTGTTGTCGACTGCTTCAACCCGCTGCCCCCAGGCTGCGAAGAGTTGTCCGTCTGGATACGAGGAAGTGTGGAGGTTGGCCTCACACACTTCTTCACCGCATGCTATTTCCATCTGGGCGCCGAGTGCCTATCAGGGTGCTTGCCGCGCTGGCCGCTGGAGTGGTCGATGTTCTGGTAGAGTTCCTCATCCAGGAGCAGCTCGAAGTCCCCGTACTTCTCTGGGGCCGGCACCTTGTTCCAGTGCACACTGATATAGAATTCATTAGCATCATATTAGACATCAATTTTAATTATCCTTCATGCAAATCAAATCAAATTAATTTATCGTTAATTCAGCAAATGAAAACGAACATCTAGAGAACGGAAATTAACTTTAAAATAATAGGTTTGAAAATACATTGACATTCGCAAAGACAAATATAATATAACATTTGTTATTCCATGAATGAATGTGAGAGGATGCAGTGCCACCTACTTGGGCACGCCGTCAGGAGGCAGGACAATGTTGATGATGTCGTCCACCAACTTGTATTTCAGGATCCTGTCGTTGGCTGTCGTCGACGTCATGGACGGGGACGCGTTCACCTGCCAGTTACCCCGCAAAATTTAGTAAATGTTAATTTGTGTGCCTAGGCATTCATACTAATGACGGTAACATGCTTCGTTGTGTGATAAATCTTAAAGGTTAATGAGTACAGTCGAGTGTCTGTACCGCTGTAGTACAGTTTTCATCACAGCTCTATCTTGTAAAGGGAAAGTATCTGTGTATTTGTATGTAGCTTAGCCTAGCATTTTTAAAAGCACTACAATCACCTTCTGTGGTTGATTGTTCAATAAATCCCTGAACTATATGTTTAACACATCTCTAACCCTGTCCATGGAGGACAGAAGAAAATGTATATATGCCGGTTAGCATTGGAAATGTATGGCCACATCTGTGGTAGAAAATAATAATAATAAAAAAAGTTCTATCTTGTCAACGTGACAATACCTCGATCATCCAGGGCTTGAGTTGATCGTCGATGATGATGTCGTATCCGTAGCACTCGAAGCAGTGTCTGTCCGAAGCCATGATGGGCGCCACGGCTCTCAAGGAGTGAACCACAAGCCAAATTATATCGGAGAAGAGCTTATCGGTGCGCGCCTTGCCTCTGGTACCCTCCAGGTAGAGACGGAGGGTCCTCACTGGCCACTTGCCTCCATGTACGCTGTTATACTCCTCCTGTAGGACGAAACCAACCAAGGTATTACAAGCAACAAAGTCTGTTTATCACATTATGTAATTTTGAAATATATGTTGCTTGGAGCGCATTATTTGCCGATAAGAGTTATAGAATTATGGATAAACTATTAAATATGGTTTCGTGTTCTCCCCCTCCCCCCCCTTCTTCTCCTCCCATGCGCTTTCTCCCTATAGTAGATCCTGGTCAAAAAATCACTGTTTAATAAGGTAAAAAAGCAGATAGATTAAAAGTATATTATTGAACAGGGATATGATAAGAGAACAAATAAAAAACAAATGCAAAACAACACGATGAAAATTCACTAGTGAATCTACTTCAGACCATTCGTGTTTTGCTATTATTAACGTACCAAGTTAATGGTCGTTTATACGGCAACCCTAAACTACACGAATCCTAGACTATACAAACCGTTACAGAATTTGTGTTAAGAGTTAGACTGTGTGTACTAACAATCCCCATTTCGCAGGAGGGGCATGTAACTAGTAGCCTACATTGACAAACTTTCGTTCCATTATGAGACGATCCTCAAGATTACTAGAGTGGATAAAATAATTGCAAAATTATAGGTACCCCTTACAGGCAGGTCTAATTCAGAATTTAATGATTGGATATTCAGTAATTATTTATTATTATTATTATTATTTACGCGTAGAAATCAGACTAACGTAGTATAGTGGTAGAGGTACCACTGGATCAGGAGGGCAAACAACTTTAAACTACCGAATCCACAGATACGAAATGAATGGGACGACGTTTCGCTCCGTGCTGGACCCTTAATTGTGTGACGAAGTTTCCCTCCGTGCCGAACCCTTGTGTGACGATGTTTAGCTCCGTGGTTGACCCTTATGTGAGGACGTTTCGCTCCGTGCTGGACCTCCCCACCTTATGTGAGGACGTTTCGCTCAGTGCTGGACCTCCCCCCCTTATGTGAGGACTTTCGCTCCGTGCTGGACCTCTCCCCCCCTTATGTGAGGACGTTTCGCTCCGTGCTGGACCCCTCCCCACCCCTTATATGAGGACGTTTCGCTCCTTGCTGGACCCTTACCTAATCATGACTTGACGGATTAAAACGTCGCAACTTCCTATTTAATTTTATATGTTTGGTTGTTTCAGCCACGTTATGTTGACTTGTTCTTTGCATTTATTTGGAATAAAGAGTTAAGACATAATAGTTGAGGTGAGTAAGCAGTGTCTGGTGGAGATGATGTTGTTTTAGATTTAGCTACTCAGAACGAAATGTCCATGTAGCACGGGCTATAGTGAGCCCATAATTGAGTTCCGTTATTTGCGATAACCTTGTTACTGTGATATTTGGGTCAAAGTTATAAATGGAGGTGGGGGTTTCCTTCCTTTTTCACCAGTTTCTTTTTTTTGCTTGTGTTTTAGCGCACTGGTTTTAGTCTTGTTTTAATAACATTATCTTGGTGGCCTGGTGGAGACTCACCCCGTGCTTCTGTATGGAGACGTTGGTGAGGTGGACGAACATGTTGTCCAGCTCCTGACCCGAAGTGTCGTAGCGTACGGTACAGAACCTGCAGAACCCCTGCTTGTACATGTACGCCTTCAGCGGCCGGTACGACGTCACCATCACATACCTGTACATACAAGTAGATAGGCTGAGAGGCGGGACTCAAGAGCTAAAGCTCAACCTTCGCAAGCACACTTAGTCGAGGATGATACAAGTCTTTCCCTTGGCAAACAAAAGAACCAATCATACATACAAATGGCAATTACTTAAATGTTTGTGGCCTTACGGGGGGGGGGGGTAGAAATAGCCTAATCTTTCTTATCTCAATAAACATACTTGAACTTGTGGCCTTACTGAACGGGATCTAGCAAGCCCTTTGCATATATGAAATGTGGATGGCTTTACTGTTCTAAGGTACTAAAAGCACACTCGTGCGTGCTTACAGATCTTGCATTACATACTGATAATTACATTAAAGTAAGGAATATGAATAAATATTGAGTTTGTCCGACGGAATCGAACCCGCGAACCTTGTCTGCTGCTTAGCATTGTAAATGTATGGTTAGCATTGTGGTAGAAAATAATGATAAAAATAAAAAATGACTTTTTAGTGCGTGTGCCTGAGGTGATCAGGGGAATAGGCTCGATCACATCATACAGCCTCTATATTCATTTACGCTATTTTCAAGGTTAATTACTTTCGTATTGTGGTGACTTTTGAGTACATTGTTAGTAAGGTTTGCTATATAGTATTTTGCAGTTCAGACCATTAAGGTGTATCCTTCATCAATGTGTAATAGATGAATGATGAATAGCAGCTGAAACACAAAGTGACAAAAAATGTAAACAGGCAATTATAAAATCAAGATACGAGTAAACATTCCTCTAAAATCTTAAGAGACTTTAGAGTGATTTTTAACAAGCGATATTACCACAAACATTCAGCTATAATTGTAATCTTAACAAAAATATGGTTAAAAAGATTATTATACTCAGTTATTCAATAAACCCAATTACACACAAATCCACAATTGTGGACCAAATCAGGCGAGTTGAGGTATACCAATTTTCTGAGCTTATGGGCGTTAAAAACCACAACAGTTAATTATACTAAAGATTTTAATGTCATCCGTGATTTTAGAGAGCTGAAAGAACCGTGTTAGAACCAACACAGTTTCTGTCAGGCATCAATCGTGCGATATCCTCGTACTATCACGCAATCTATGGTAGACCTATACAATGATTTATTAAAAAATCTCCGAAGTTACCAGTAGGTCAATTTCTGGTAGTTTGAAATCACCGCCTAATGTAGATTTGATCAAATATATTAAAACCTATTATTATTTTAATATATATTCAGAAAATGGTCTAAGATATATCCAAATAATGCATTAAAAATCACTAAATCAAATCTAGAGGTGTGTGTGAGTGGTCGGTCTCGAACCCATTATTGATGTGACGATGTGCCTTGAATTTTGTTACTAGCTCATCCAGACTGAAACTTGCTTAGCTAAATTAATTTGGGGGTTCAGTCCCCCTGAGCCCATTATGTGGCTCTGTAACCTATTCCACTACCAGGATGGAATAAACAGGATGAGTGGCATAAAAAATGAACTAAACTAAATTGCATATATAATATATGTATATGGGTTAAGAAACTCACATTCTCAAATCAAATTTCTTTCCACCAATTAGTAGAGGGTTGTCAATGTAGCGGGAGATGACGTAGGTGTCCTTGACGAGTGCTGGGTTAAAGGAACTTTTGGTGTCCCGCGACCACTTCTTAATTTGAGCCAACTTGTTTACCAAGAAGATGCCTAAACAAGAAAACAACAATTTGCATCTGTCATTACACAACCGCCCACCAGATGTGTCTGGAGTGCATAATAAACGAAGCAGTTACAAAAAATCATTATGCTTGTTTTGACAAATATGCAAGTTAACCCTGAATTATATTTTGTCAGTGCATAAATATCCTTGAAGCTACAAATTGTTAAATTTCTTTGCAATCTTATTAGATTGTAAACCCATTAACTGAAAAGTAACTGGTCAACCTGTCCTCCTACATAGAACGTCGATTTTCGATCGCATGCGTTACCTAAAGGCAAAAATTGTCGTACTAGAAAATGTAAGCGGCTGGCGAAAGTGACGTACTGTCCCGTTTTCTGTTTTCGGTCCTCTGGTAAATTAGGAGAAATCACTTTAAATTGCCCGTTTTCTTGACTATGGGAAATCTTAAGAGGACGGACTGAACTGGTTGTGAGACTACGTAGGTAGCGTTTCCCTTGAATAAAAGCGCTGTATGAGCCTAAAATAAATTCTGGTCCCAACTATGGGGAACCAATATTCCAATTTCTGTACAGTTATATGGTGAAAAACATAATATAACTTAAGCCGTCATCGAAGGGCTTATGTTTTTCACCATAAACGTGTCAAGAAACTGGGTTTTGCTTGTAAACCTCTATAATTACTAGGATTTAACATCTCTATGGCTATTCATACCTAATAAAAGGATAAGCCTTGCCATTATACATAAAAAATATTAGTTATAAGTAGTTTGGAGCATGTGGTGCTAGTGCACCTAAAATATTTATTAGAAATATTAAGTTTGAGACAATTTTGTGTATATTTCTTCATTCGCCCATATATATTTTGTTTTCCTTGAATCCCAACAAGAAAAGAAACCGTAACACTAATATATAATTCTTTATTCGAATTTAAAGAACTGATATCAGTATAATTTATTTTAATCTATATCTATGGAAGGATATAGAATTTTTGTAATGAATTTCTTGTAAATTATTAAATGTTTGAACTCGTTTACAAAGAAAAATTTAGGCAAATATTTTTTCGAATAATTTAAGAATTGCTCAGGAGCGATCTAGAGCGGAGAGATTTGCGCACTCCAAAGGTTAACAGTGCAGTAACACTTCCACTTGCCAAAATATGTTTTGGTTTCCCATTGTCCGGGACAGGAAGCCTGTTTTACTACTAGAACAGGTACATCATGTGAAAAAAACGTGCTTAAACATGTCTGTCAGGCTGCGAGAGTTGAACCTAGGACCTTTCGGTTGAAAATCCACTGCACATACCAGTCGGTTGTAAATCGACTACACTGACTAGTGAGATACAGGACCCCATTTTTAACAACCCACCACCTACCTTATGCACTCCTTCCCTTGCTTCCATTGATCCCCCATATTACTGCAAGAGATCAATGACGCACTCTCCAGCACGTTTCACTGTAAAACACCGCCGCTAAACGTTCTCAAGCATTAGAAGCTGATCGCGTCTTTACCTCCACTGGCATTCATTATGTACACCATCAACTACTCTACATCACGGGCGAATGGACCACACTCCAACACTTCGACACAGTCTCAGCTATCATATCCCAGTCTCAGTCTCCACTAGTAGGAGTCCGCTAGCTCCAGAAAGGTGCCTACCCACATGCACACATTCTCAGCCACTCTCAACCAGCATCAGTCTGCTAGCTCCAAAGAGATGCCCACCAACGCCCTGGGAGCGGCCGGCCGGCTTCAGGATCCAAGTGGTATTTGGGTTACGCCGGAACTCCTCCACGAAGAGATTGTAGTCAGCTGGGAGCATGAAGGTCGTCGGCAGGAAGTCCAGGTGAACGTAGCGTCCTGGTGGATGGAAACGTCTGCATGTACTTCCCTTTAAAATACTGAACAAATTGAAAGACATTAATGCAGACCGCTTCTTTATAAGGGTAACCCACACAATTTTAAAACATTAACTTTAAAATGTAACTCTCACAAGGGACAACAACTTTAAGTTCAAGAAACTGAAGTATATAAAATTAAAGGAGATGCTTTTCACCTATAAAGGACAAGACAGCACTAAAGTTACAAAATCAGCTAGGACAAATCCTCAGTTATAATTGAAATTTTTTTGACAAGCTGCCGGCTTTCTTCCCCATCAAGGTCCCTAGACATGAAGGCTCACAAGTAAATTACAGTAAACATCGTTCAAGTAGGTGGATAACCCTTATTTGTGCGTCTAATAAAATGTTTTTATCTGTCAAATTCACCCATTATACATCATACACTGCTTTATGATACAATGCAATTGAACCCTAGAATATCTGTGATAGGAACTTTCATTTAATTCAAACACAAATTCAATGCCTAAATACCCAAACTTTTACATTTATCCTGAGTAATATATTGTCTACGAAATATTTAACCAAATCAAATCAAATTAAACGAAGGCCATTTTATGAAATGTATTACCATTCGTAAAATGGTAGTATAGTACATTTATATTTGGGAAAGTGTGCATAAAAAGTACAGCTAACAGTGACTAAGGTTTATAATCATTAATTTGGTGCTTCTGGCTTACCTATAGCGCCCCTGGCGGCCAGTTGGGAGCTTACCTATAGCGTCCCTGGCGGCCAGCTGGGAGCCTTCCCTGGCGGCCAGCTGGGAGCTTACCTATAGCGCCCAGCTGGAACTTACCTGTAGCGTCCCTAGCGGCCAGCTGGGAGCCTTCCCTCTCCAGCTCTCGGCGGTAACGCTTAATATTCTTCACCAAGAGGTCCTTCCTTGTTAGCTCGTAGTGGGTCGGGAAGTGATTAATCATCCTGGGAGGGGAGAGTTAGGGGACGGTAAGGGGTCACGCAGGCCACTGTCTCTGGTGCTCAAGGACAAATCTATTGTCATAACAATAGATTTGCCACAGAGGCCACGCAGGCCACAAAGGCAGGAATTTGTTTAATAACATAGAACAAGTTGTGTTATTCAATATATCAAACATCGTCGAGGATTACACTTTTGTTGAACACAATTGTCTTTATATCGAGCAAAGATATTGAAAGACAACATCTACTTTTTGTTTTATCTGAGTCCCGTTTATTTACTTTATTAGAATGTATTTATTGTTATAAATTCGAGAGTAATTGGTATATCTATTTACCAATTATATAGAAGAGACATACTAGTTCAAGTATGTTTATTGTGACATGAAAATACATCTCAAAGGGATAGAGTAGCTTAGGCTATTTCTACCTACTTAGGTACAAATAGCCTAAGCTATTTTTTTCTACATTTCTTAGGCTATTTCAACTTACTGGTTGTCGTTCATGCGGTAGCCGCTGTCAACGCTGAAGAGGGAGCGGCAGGTCTGAGCACCGGCCCTGCAACACAGACACTAATACACAATATCACAAAAACATTATGTATATAATGTGAAAATATTGTAGTGGTATTGTGGGATCGAACCCGCGTGTGTATGTGAAGTCCAGGGATACGGGTTCTATCCCATTGTACAGACACAATAGTATCTGACTAGCATTAATTTATGTAAGCGACATTTATAGTAGATTTTCACTGATTTGTAATAATGATAATAATTATTATTATAAAATAACAATTATTATTATTATTATTAAAGCGCTAAAAATATATTATTACAAAGAAATAAACAATTAAACTTTAATATGTAGCTAATAATTACAAATATATAAGATGGACTTAAAAATTCATCTTGCAAAATAGATATGAGGAGAACTAAAACTATAGTAATTATAATTGATGAACAGAACAAGAACTTCTTCATAATCTCCTTTGTATAGATGCCGTCTCACGTAGGTATTTTAAATATGATGATCCAGGCAAGGCAGTTAAAGCTAAATGTAACATATTAAATTGAAATAGACCATGGTATCCATATATCTATTGTTGAAGCCACACTACAGTACTTCAAAAAACGGAAGGAGATATTTTTCAGGGGAAAGCGGCAAGTTATTACGATTATATAACACTTGCAAGGGGTCAGGATAAGGATTTGGGATGGGACGGTGGGAAGGAATGAACATAAGAACAAACGCAACTGCAGAAGGCCTATTGGCCCATACGAGGCAGCTCCTATTTATAACCACCCAATCCCACTCATATACATGTCCAACCCATGCTTGAAACAATCGAGGGACCCAACCTCCACAATGTTACGCGGCAATTGGTTCCACAAATCAACAACCCTGTTACTGAACCAGTATTTACCCAAGTCTTTTGACTTGGGTAAATACTGGACTTTGGGTAAATACTTTGACTTTGAATGGTGCCCAACCACTTGGACTGTCGTGGATTGAACGCCGACTTGCATGAAGCGAGATCGTCGTTCTACCGTCCAGTCTAAGTGCTTGAACAACAGAAGAGCAATCAGTGACACTCAAAAATCAGAAAGCACTGGTATTAAGTTGTGTTTACAACTGGGGGTTATGTGTACAGACAGCAGATAACCTTTACCGAAGTGTGAGCGTCGTAATTGCCAGAATTCAGCTGGGATATCAACTGTGGCAGATAGCGGATATCCCTACACTGAGCACTCCAATGGTAAACTATGAAAAAAAATAAAAATATCACTCGAAATTCCTACAAAAGGAATTTGGACCCACTCATCAGCATCATGCTGGCAAGTGTTAAGTTGTCAATAACTTCAAACCATATAGTATGAAATACTTTTAACTCATTAATTTGTTCACGAATATTGTTGATTGATTGCGACCCGCGGCGGCTATTTTTGTTTCCTTGACTTGGTGCTAATTTTGTATTCTCGAGTAATGCCTTGAGGCTTTTGTAGGAATTTCGAATGATTCTCAAATGTATATAGATCATTTGACCATTCCCGAGGATGCGACCCACAATTAACAATCGGTTACTATAATCACTGCTTCGTGAACAAAGACAACGTGTGTAATTGATAGCGGCTTTAGGGTAAATTCAGGTAACTAATACTGCGCATCTAAACTTGTTAAAAATAAATAAAAAAAATGACGCCCTAATTGAAAGACCATTATATTGTATTTCAGATTTAATTTGTATATTTCCGAATTATGAATCATTCTGACGGATATAGTTTGATTTATAGTTAGGAACTCATAGCATCTATTTCTTCCTGGATATGGAATATTTCAATAAAATAATATAATACGGGTCACCTATGACGTAACCATAAGATTAATTTTATTTATTTATTTTTAATAAGAAGCTTTGATAAACAACAGCTAGTGCTACTTTCCTATGTTACGTGGATTGGAGGCAAAGATCTAGCTATAAGTTTCCCAACTTACATGGGGGGAACTTTGGTGGGTTAGATAAGAATTAAGTATTCCTATCTAACAGGGCGGTTGATAATACGTGGAATGAGTGTCTTGTGTACTTGTAAACTATGGGTAGAGTATACGAATATCTATCTTCTCATATCCTGTAGTACAGTGGATCTACGGTCTCATCTCACAATCGGGGATCCTGGGTTCGATCCCAGGGCGAGACAGAAATGGTTGGACACTGCTCTTTCAGCTGATGCCTCTGTTCACTAGCAGTTAAGCACTTCACTAAGCAGTTAAGCAGTTTTCACTAGCAATTGTTGCGTACTAATTAAAGTCAGTAGTTTGACCCAGGTGTAGGTTTCCAGTCCCCGACAACGGGAATTAAAGCTCCCAGCTTTTGGGCACCGTTGGCTGACAGCGACCAAAGTTACATTAAATTTTGTCCCGAGGAGCGAGTTTATTGGGCAGCGCCACTCATCCTGTGAATGGATAAGTGGCGATAGTAGCATGTACAACCCTCCATAATAGGAAGAAAATCCGCTGTGTTGTTCACCCGGTCAACGGTACATTATAAAATTATGTAACGTCAGTCGCTTGCAACCAACGTTGCTATAGGTATCTCATTCCATTTGGTCTAACTCTTTTTCCCCAGTTTATAATTGCAGTAGTCAATGTTAGAAGATCAATACCCGCAGGTACCTGCAATTAGCAACGATATCCCAGTCAAATTCTAGCAATTATTTAGTATGTCACGTGTCTGGCAGAGGCTTCGAATGTCGCCCTGTCCTTCTCTCACCAGTAAAAATTCCACTCATCATCAGGGCTAACTTGGATCCAACCTCGTTTTTCAAAGTTATTAGTAAGTACGGACTTCTCCATATCCGTGCAATATGCTATCCTGGCCGTCATAATTGATATTCCTTAGAGAATATGAAAGCACCAGAGTGAGAGTGTGTGTTGAAGCGATCTGTTGACACTGTTGTCATAGCAACCATCTCCACTACAGCTGATAAATATTAAAGTTTTTATCTGTATTTTTTAAATCAATCAAATATTAAAATATAATTTTTTACACTAAACATACCATTAAAATCTTAATCAAAATATAATTTTGATAAATTTCGGGAACGTGGAATAACATTTGGGAAATAAGTATTTTCTGTAGCACTTAAAAATCTAATATAAAGTTTTACAAAAGCAATAAATACAATAGTGTTTTATAGACATTAAATAATTGTTTAAATATAATGCAAAAGTAAAATAAAGTAAAGTATGAATCTCGACACTATGGTAAACATTCCACCACAACAAACTTTAAACCTGTGAGAGTTGCTGAGGTTGTCTCTAGTGCCAGGTGCTGAGGTTGTCTCTAGTGCCAGGTGCTGAGGTTGTCTCTAGTGGCAGGTGCTGAGGTTGTCTCTAGTGCCAGGTGCTGAGGTTGTCTCTAGTGCCAGGTGCTGAGGTTGTCTCTAGTGCCAGGTGCTGAGGTTGTCTCTAGTGCCAGGTGCTGAGGTTGTCTCTAGTGCCAGGTGCTGAGGTTGTCTCTAGTGCCAGGTGCTGAGGTTGTCTCTAGTGCCAGGTGCTGAGGTTGTCTCTAGTGCCAGGTGCTGAGGTTGTCTCTAGTGGCAGGTGCTGAGGTTGTCTCTAGTGGCAGGTGCTGAGGTTGTCTCTAGTGCCAGGTGCTGAGGTTGTCTCTAGTGCCAGGTGCTGAGGCTGTCTCTAGTGCCAGGTGCTGAGGTTGTCTCTAGTGCCAGGTGCTGAGGTTGTCTCTAGTGGCAGGTGCTGAGGTTGTCTCTAGTGGCAGGTGCTGAGGTTGTCTCTAGTGGCAGGTGCTGAGGTTGTCTCTAGTGGCAGGTGCTGAGGTTGTCTCTAGTGGCAGGTGCTGAGGTTGTCTCTAGTGGCAGGTGCTGAGGTTGTCTCTAGTGGCAGGTGCTGAGGTTGTCTCTAGTGGCAGGTGCTGAGGTTGTCTCTAGTGGCAGGTGCTGAGGTTGTCTCTAGTGCCAGGTGCTGAGGTTGTCTCTAGTGGCAGGTGCTGAGGTTGTCTCTAGTGGCAGGTGCTGAGGTTGTCTCTAGTGGCAGGTGCTGAGGTTGTCTCTAGTGGCAGGTGCTGAGGTTGTCTCTAGTGGCAGGTGCTGAGGTTGTCTCTAGTGGCAGGTGCTGAGGTTGTCTCTAGTGGCAGGTGCTGAGGTTGTCTCTAGTGGCAGGTGCTGAGGTTGTCTCTAGTGGCAGGTGCTGAGGTTGTCTCTAGTGGCAGGTGCTGAGGTTGTCTCTAGTGGCAGGTGCTGAGGTTGTCTCTAGTGGCAGGTGCTGAGGTTGTCTCTAGTGGCAGGTGCTGAGGTTGTCTCTAGTGGCAGGTGCTGAGGTTGTCTCTAGTGGCAGGTGCTGAGGTTGTCTCTAGTGGCAGGTGCTGAGGTTGTCTCTAGTGGCAGGTGCTGAGGTTGTCTCTAGTGGCAGGTGCTGAGGTTGTCTCTAGTGGCAGGTGCTGAGGTTGTCTCTAGTGCCAGGTGCTGAGGTTGTCTCTAGTGCCAGGTGCTGAGGTTGTCTCTAGTGCCAGGTGCTGAGGTTGTCTCTAGTGCCAGGTGCTGAGGTTGTCTCTAGTGCCAGGTGCTGAGGTTGTCTAGTGCCAGGTGCTGAGGTTGTCTCTAGTGGCAGGTGCTGAGGTTGTCTCTAGTGCCAGATGCTGAGGTTGTCTCTAGTGCCAGGTGCTGAGGTTGTCTCTAGTGCCAGGTGCTGAGGTTCTCTGATGGCAAGTGCTTAGGTTGTCTCTAATGACAGGTGCTGAGGTTGTCTAGTGGCAGCTGCTGAGGATACTAGTGCCAGGTGCTGAGGTTGTCAGCATTTATATGCTGAGGCATTTATATGCAATGTGGCATTGTATTTTGTTTCATGTGGTGTGTTTTCCCAAGTCATTTAGAGAAGGCTCATTTGCTTCTCTGAATACTGACAATAGTTTTTTGCACTGGTATTTGAATATGCTGTATTTTTCCTGTAATTACTCTTTGTAAGTACTGTATCTGCCAGTTGGTCAGCTTAAATGTGGGGTATCCTACATCTTCATGATAGTTGATTTTTTTTTAAGATCAAATAATTGTTTTCTTTACAATTCTTAAAAGAACATGCACCTAATAATTTATCTAAAAATTGTTGGTCACAAAATATTTCCCCAAAAATTAACATATCAATGTGGTGACTTTTGTTTGTTATTTTCCAGCTATATAATCTAATGGTTTGACACTTTCCCCTGATAGTTCCCTTCCCTTGTTGTTTTCCAAACATGTTGCGGGAATTAAATTTGTATCTAAAACCTCCATTGTCTGAGAACTGACACTATCTGAGTATGGACAATTTTTATCTTATGAAAAATAACGTTTCAAATTCTGACAAGTTGGCTCAACCTACAACAACAAATTAGGAAGATATAGTTCTCATAATTAATAGAGCTCCATTATATTTGGTAATTTTTTATATTTAAAAGTTTTGAATTGGTCTAAAGCCATTTTTTTTAAGTTGTAATAATATACAGTACTATGTAGTACTCTATTGTTTTGGCCATAATAATCCTGAATAGTACAGGAATAGGAACTAAAATTTCTAGCTTTTGTATCTTCCTTCCACAACTCTTTATAATGCCTAGCTGTTTATTCTTTTCACAGAACACAATCCACCAGTCATTTTCCAGATCACCAATTACTGCTGGGTGCACTGAGGCTTATGGAATGAAGAGACTGTGGCCCAGTGTACCAACCCTGCCCATGATTAAATTGTAGGACCCAACAGCCTTAAGTACCGGTAAGACTGATTAAACAAAGCATTATTTGATGAAACGTGTCAGTTGCTATAAAGTTAATAAAACTTCAATATATTGTATTTAAAATAATGATAAAATAAATTTAGACATACAAAAGGAAGAAGGGAACCAGGAAACCCCCCCGAACCCCCAAGTTATGTAAATTTTTAGAAACTCGGGTTATCTGTCTTTGAGATATTTAATACAAATACTGTACCTGTAATACACTTTTAAAAATGTCCTGATTATTTGTTTTAATACTATTGCAGGTAAAAGATGTCGCTCTATTTTGACATCATAATAGATAGTCCCCATGTAAGTGCCATCAATACCCAGATAGCATGGCATCCCCAAGCTACATGCCTTGCTGTTGCTGCTTACAGTGAAGATAAAGGAGGTGCTATAAATGTCTTCACTGGAGAGGTAATATATTTAGGTTGTTGATTGTCATGAATTATACTTCCCTTGAAAGTATAGCATTAATGGCTTTAAGGATCTCTTCCACTTTAGTTATTCTCTTAAGCAATATCCTGGACCTAGATTCACGAAGCTCCATGCATTTCTTTGTAAGTAAGTGTGCTACAAAGGTTCCTAAGTATTGCCTAAGAACGTTCCTATGTCCAATTCAGAAAGATATACTTACAAAGATTTTAGAACTTCACTTAAGTCTCGCTAGATGTCGCTAGGGCTTTTCGTTTGGCCAATCAGAGAGAATGTAACATTTTTCAACTTACGGCTTTAGCCAATCACGACGGTTATATATTGGAACTCATCCATTGTCACTTGCCACCTACTTATGTCAAATTTTCTTATAAAATTAGTATATTTCGAAGTAAAAAAGTAAAATTTTCGTTTGTAAGTACGTACGTAACTGCTTCATGAATCTGGCCCGTTTCTCAAAAAAAAAAAAAAAAAAAAAAGACCAAACATTAAGAGTAGGTTGACTTTACATGCCTGGCACTATTGGGGATATTTTCAAACATCCCCAGTTGGTAATACTGTAGAAGCTCGCTAATCCAGACTATATGGGAAGTGCCCATTGCCGGATTAGCACATTTTCCGTGGTGAAAGTACTTTTTCACTGTGAAAGTCCAAAAGTGAACGTTCCCAAAATTTTTTATACTGTTCCACAAACAACATAATTTGAATTGCCACTTACAATTATCAAATATTCAACCAGAAACCTCAACTTACCTTGTAGTAGTTCGTCTTGTTGATTGATGCTACACATTTTGAAGTTAAAAATTCTTGACAATTTACGTAACCTATTCTAACACAACACTAAAATTAACGCTTAAAACTTCTGTACAGTTCATGAAGCAAGGTCACATTTTGACTGCCAGCTGCTGAAAGCTCGCTGGTTGAAGGCACTTGGCTTGCCTGTGAGGCCTCACTGATTGAAGGGCCTTTGGTTGCTTTATTTACAAAATAAGAATCAAGTTTAGCTTGCCTTTTGTGTTCATTAGCCTCTTTTATGATCAGCTTTTTAGTTCACCTCAGGTACTAATACATGTTTCCAACTTCTGGATTAGCACAGTTGGATAAAAAATTTTGTTTTGTTTTTGACTGATGAATTGTTCTAAAATCATTGGTAATTACTGTACTGTATAGGCCCCTCCGCATGCCCCTTATCCCCCCAGGCAGTCCCTCCCAACGTTTCCCTCTCTCCCGACATCACCCACCTACCCCACCCCTCCTCCTACACCATGCATCTTGAGCTACAGCTGTACGGGATTAATATGGTAAGGCCCAATGCCTGCCTGTCTGATCCGGAAACCGGCTTAGATTTCAACTCTCTAACAGTATACACTGATCTGGCCAAGTATCTGTTAGTCCAGCTTCTATGGACATTTTGGCCAGATTGGAAGATCTCATCCAGTCGTGATTTTTTTTTTTTTTTTTTTTTTTTTTGATATATACAAGAGTTGTTACATTCATGTACAGCCACTAGTACGCATAGCGTTTCGGGCAGGTCCCTGGAATACGATCCCCTGCCGCGAAGAATCGTTTTTTCATCCAAGTACACATTTTACTGTTGCGTTAAACAGAGGCTACAGTTAAGGAATTGCGCCCAGTAAATCCTCCCCGGCCAGGATACGAACCCATGACATAGCGCTCGCGGAACGCCAGGCGAGTGTCTTACCACTACACCACGGAGACTGTATTTTGCTGGATTAGGGAGTTTTCCGGATTGGCGGGTCCTGGATTAGCAAGCTTCTACAGTACTGTGGCAAGAGAGAGAGAGAGAGAGAGAGAGAGAGAGAGAGAGAGAGAGAGAGAGAGAGAGAGTAAAGCATTCATCCAGCCCTGAATAACCTTCAAAGGGTATGTTCGTTTATAACCAAAGTGAAGCGCAGGCAACAAGGTGTGGAAATGGATGCTAAAGACTGTGCTACCTTCATCCATGCTTTGGCAGGATCTTCCAGTTTCTCCTTCTCTGGGTGAATGCTTCTCCTGATATACTGCCTTCCTTCCCAACTTGGGGTGTTAATTCTCCTCTGCTACGTAGCATAGCATGTAGGTCTATGTTTAAACCTACATGCTATGTAGTTTCCTCATTCTCATCAGAATCGGATTTGGATTGTCAAGTTTGCTCCAGTTCGGTATGTTCGTTTATAAATATATATATTTGTTTATAAATAATGTATAAATAAAATTTATACATTATTCAAATAATGTCTCAGTAATGCGGCTTTGTGCTGAGTTTTCTCGCACCCTCTATTCTCAAGCAATTTGACTTGCCTTGCTGCTATAGAAGCTCATTTCAACTTCTGGTGAATAACAATTTGAATACTACCATGAATAAAACCACAAATATAATTTTCATAATCAGATTTAGTAGAGTGTGGAAGCAAATTAACTTCACTTAAAATTAAAACAGTTCTCCCCATCACAACCATCAATGTAACCTCAGCACCTGCCACTTGATTACAGTATATTACATTACTTAAAGTATTGTAATGTACTTTAGTATATTATAGTGTATAAGTATATTATTCTCCTCATTTTATAATCTAAGAGCGTGAGAGAATTTGTTGAATAATATTGTATTATGAAACTTTATTTTTAATTTTTTGGTATCTTCCACTAGGGTAAACTGTGTGATGGGGTTGACATCCCTCCACACCCAACAGCACAGGTGACATCTATTGTATGGCACCCAAGCAAAAGAATTATGGCAGTTGGCTGGGAGTCGGGAGAACTCTTCCTATGGAATGATCATGAACACGAGCTTCATGAAATCCAGTCTCTGCATCGAGCACCTATCTCTATCCTGAAGTTCAGCGAGGGTGGAACAAGGCTTGTGTCTGCAGATGCGGTTAGTGTCTTGTATAATCGAGCCGTGAAAACTGTGCCTTCAAGGAATTATTTTAACTTTATTTTGTACTGCTCCTAGCTGTTTCTTTAATAAATATTAAACGCAAACATTACTTGTATTTTATACCATCTTTCTTTCAGTTTGTTTCCTAATGCTTCCTCAGTTCATTTATTCTTCTCTTTGTATTTTATCTACTGGTTAACCATAATTTCTACATTGTTGTACAAATAATAATAATAATAATAATAATAATTTTTATTTAGGCAAAGGTACATACATAAAGAGATTTTACAAAGTTTGTTGGCTTTATAGATAGGAGCTAGTACATACAATGCCTAAAGCCACTATTATGCAAAGCGTTTCGGGCAGAAACGCCCGAAAATGTATTGTCTGCCAATCTATTTTGATATACCTGGGGGAACAATTTATCCTAGTGCATTCCCTGAAGGAATGAAGTTCCCAGAGGGACTAAAATAAATACACATACAATATATTGTCATAAATAATGGTTATAATGATTAGATTCTTACTCAGAGGCTTTTAGGACTTGCAGCCTGCAGTTCCTTAACAAAAAGTTCCAATACATCATCAATCCAAAAAAGTTGCCATAGCATAGAGGTGATACTGTATTAGTGTACATGATTTGTCAATAACACCAGCAACACACAGAATCTAGGAGTAACATCTCTCAAACTACAGTGATACTAAACTTTTCATCAAAGAAGAAAACAGTTGGAAACAGTGTGTAGACTCTGAAGCCATCAAACAGTACAAAACTCTGAAAGTGAATGAAAGAAAATTCAACATTGCTCCCATCTTTTTAAATTCATACTGTAAAAGCTATAAATTTTAACACAATTCCTCGCAATCTCTCTCTTCACAGCATCTTCACCTAACTGAACTTGTCCCTTTGCTCTTTATCCCTTTTATATACACTAGTCCTGTGGATTTCTGTCATATATTATTAAGTCCTAACATGGAAAATTTCATCTACAAATAAATGTTATCCCCATCTTCGGGTTTCTCTACATGTTTATTCAGTAACTGAAATGAATTGTAAAGTGAACAGTAATCATGTTTCTGAATGTAATCTTTTCCATTCTCCTAGTCTGGTGCAACAGTGGGATGGAGAGTGGACAGTTCGGGAAATCTGCAGACGGTATTTACGCATGAACTTAAAGACCCCCTTGTGCAAGTGGTCTACAGGGTGAATGTCAATGCAGACAAGAACCTTCCTACTCTGGATATCAAGTACTGTACCATAATTTGTTTTACAAAGTATTTAAGTATCCAGTATAGGAAACCTTTGCTAATACCATTGGTTGTATATCTAATTTGTAATTAAGTTATCCTTAGTAAAGGATAATAAAGGATAGTAATCTTTAGTTATTGCTAGATTAATATTTCATTTCTGGAAAGGCTTTCTTGATTGTTTGCTGAGCTAAGCACTTGTCCTGCCAAGCTTTTACTAAAATACATCAGGGGCCAGATTCACAAAGCAGTTATGCAAGCACTTACGAACCTGTACATCTTTTCTCAATCTTTGGCAGCTTTGTTTACAATTATTAAACAGTTAATGAGCTCCGAAGCACCAGGAGGGTGTTTATAACAATAACAACAGTTGATTGGGATGTTTTCATGCTTGTAAAATGTTTTAATAAATGTAACCAAAGCCGTTAAAGATTGAGGAAAGATGTACAGGTTCGTAAGTGCTTGCGTAACTGCTTCACGAATCTGGTCCCAGGCCTGCGAGTTGAATTCTTGCCTATCAGAAACCAGGACTAAAATCTCTCCAAGCGACTCGGGATTTTCCAAATATGCAAGTGATAGACCAAGGTCTGTAGTGTTAAATGACATCACCCCTATTTTTTTTTTTTAAATGGGGCACCTTGAATCATCTTCAGGCAATTAAAGTATCTGGGTCAATTGCCCTCAAGCGATTGGAGCAGTTTAAGGGTTAAGAGGCAGGACCCAGGAACTGAGACCCAATCCCCTACAACATACCTTTAATTAGTACACATAGGTAAATATACACAAATACATATACATTTTTTAATTAATTCTTAAATTTGTGATTTACTTTTATATTTAGTGGTCTTGCACGGGCTGCTGTGAGTGGTGATGAAAGGGCCTTGGATATCTTCAGCTCCTGGAGGCCAAGAACAGGACACAAACGTCTTACCCTTGCAGCTAATGCCAAAGACAATCTTAACTTTTTCTTGGGATCATCTACTGGTATGTATTTTATACACATAATTTCAATAAATGTTTCTATCTTGTGCATATTCATGAATTATTTCTGTAATTTTGTTTTGGTGGCTTTTACCAATATTTGTATTAGAGAGCAATTGCATGGAATGCAATATCTTGGAAATTAAACTTTGTTGTGTATAAAAAGCACATTTCTCGGCTGTGTTCTTGGTTATTCACATTCTCTACTTTTTGCTACCTTAATTTTTCTTTATGATTTTATTTATCCTAGCCTTGTGACCCAGTAGAATGAGAGAAGTTTGAGACGGGGCTTTGTTGTGATGTCGGTGCTTTTTTCTGTTGGCTATTAGAGGTAATGACCTAGTGGATCATTTGGTGGTTAGCAAGGGCATTGCTTGGCAGTCCTAGTGATTTTATTTTAACACAATTTCTGGCTAAATTTTGTGTTGGGTCGCATATTGTCCAGTATTTCCTTTAGCACCAGTATGACGTAGGTGGGATAGTTTGCGAAATTTCCCCCTATGCCTCTGCAGAATACTGTATAGACTTATCCTGACAGCATTCGATCCTAACCAGGGGTCGGTTGGATCTTACCTTAGGGTGCAAATTTATGTTTTACACAGAAAATTACTTTATGTATGGACTCAAAGCCTGATTTTTGTACATTTAAAATTGTACTTTTGATTTTACTAGACATGTTTTTGCCTGGTTGAAGAAACTATCTATAAAATGCAATAATGGCTGTCGATATTATATAACTCATCATATGTTTGTGTTCTAAATGTTTATTTGGATTATTTGTTTTGTTGGCACTCGACTCAATGTTATTCCAAACACAGTGGAACCTTGACTTACGAATGCCCTTACTTATAAATTTTTCGAGTTACGACCCCAATTTTGTTGGCAAATTTAACTTATGACCTTTCCCTTGACTTGTGCATTTGTTGATACACGTATGGGTCGATGGAGTGCGTGGTTCCTGGTGGCATGGGCGACCCCGCTTCAGTTTACCAGACTGCCCGCTTAGTGACGATCGCGCTTGAATTTTTTGTAAAGAATTTAATTGTTTTTGTGCTTTTTTTATTTTTGAACATAAAAGTAATTATTATATATCATTTCATGGGTCCCATGAAAGTCGGTGGTAAGGTTTAACCTAAGAAAATAGTTGTGAGTAGAGGCAGTAGAGGATGTCCCTTCCTCATAAAGAAAATGTGTGAAGTATGGGAATAACTGCAAAGTTTTGTTGAAAAGACTCGCCCAGATACAGCAGTAGCAGGCCATTGCATTTGACCTTATTAATGACAATGGGATATCTCACTACAGACAAGTGTTAAAATGTAGGGGAAAAAAAGTCTATGGAAATGTTCTTAGTGAGATAAACAAGCAGTGAGCCACAACCAGGTCTTAGTGGTATGCCTGCAAAACGTTGGAGAGTACCTCTGAGAAGTCATCACTGCCTGATGTTATAATGGAAGGGGACTTCCCTTCCAAACAGTAGCACCTCACCTCCTTTCCCCCTCATTCCTCACAGTCTTCCATACGCCAACAAGAGTCATCAATAAAAGTAAGCTATAACTTGTACATACTATAGTACAAAATATATGGGTGTGTATTATGTTTGAAATGTATTTTGAAGTTAATATTTTTAGAGTGTGGAACGGATTAATTCAATTTCCATTATTTCTTGTGGGAAAATTTGTTTCGAGTTACGACCCATCTCTGGGAGAGGATTAAATTTGTAAATGGAGGTACCTCTGTAGATTGTTTTCTGGTGGAGCACCCCAGTTGACTTCCTGAAGATATCTTGCTGAGATTGCTCCATTCTAAGAGGTAACATCAGCTGCAGAAGTTATGTTCAACACACTAGGGGATCAGAGCCAGAAGGCCTCCCTCATGGAGGCACAGGGAGTGAGTGACTATTTGCCACCTCATTGGGTAAAGCATACTGGACAGTAAATGAAACTTTACAGACATCTTGAGGGTTCTCAGAAAATGCAGCCTTGAAATAGCCATATGACTGCAAATGATTCAAGCAAGACAATGGAGTCACTCAAACTAGCTTGAAACTCATTAATGCCAATCCTCAACACAACCACCAGCCGGCTGGTCCGACCCCAACCCATAGCCTGCTCCCCTTGACCAGCCAGTTCTGTTGCTGATGTTATGAAGGATGGTTCTACCAGTAGTGATCTGGTCTGCTAGTCATGGATAATGTTCTTGTGCTTTAAACCAAGTGCCAGCCAATCTTGAGCTTTGTTCGTGCTATGGGGACTATTTGCTCATTCTTGTTGTGTTCCTTATTTCAGTTTTCTTTTATGGGCATATTTTCTGTCCTAGCTTGATGTATGGGTTTGGCTCTTGTATTTCAGGCTGCATGTGCTCAGGATTTTCTTCCCTGGGTGCCTGCCAATGCAGCCCTTGCACAGTTGGTTATCTTCTCTGGTGTATTTGAGAGTTTGTTCCCCGCAGAGGTTAGGCTATTCCCTGGAAACACAAACCAAAACTGTCTCTATTTTCCGCTTGTTACAACTTGTAATAAAGTTTTTACCTCTTGGCTTAACGTGTTTATGACGTATTAGAAAGTTGTTACCACTTGCTCTATTGGTTGCTATAACTGGTTAGGTGTTAAAACTTGTTCAAACATTGTACCGATGTCGTAGTTTTGGTGTGTGTTTGGCGGGTTGTGTGTGTGTGTGTGTGTGTGTGGGGGGGGGGGGCGGGGAGGAGCCTTGCCTTGGGCTATTTATGAATCTTTGATTTCTCTGCTTGGGCCCTTGGGTGTGGGCATTCTTTTGGTTTGGTTGTTCTGTGTGTTTGTTGTTCTGTTTGTGGAGGTTTTTGGCTGTTTCAAGACCTCATTTTCTGTGAACCCTCCAGTTCTTTGTAAAGCTTTGCTGACTTTCCGGATGCTTTATCAGTGGGTGGTGGTGAATTGTCACTCCTCCCAGTGCCTCTTGTGAGGGGGGAGGAGGAGGGGGGATTAGGTTCTGGTCCTCAGTATGCCTAACAGAACTTGTGCTACTGATGTGACCTTTTATTATGGAAACAACCTCGGCAAGATAAACTTCAGGGATTCACAAGGGCTCTACCAAAAAGTGGCATTCATTACATTCAATGCTAGTTATTTATTTATTCATTCATTTATTTTTTTTTTATTTTTTTTTAGTACCATTTCTAACCCACGAGACATTTTTATTAATTCTAAAGCATTTTTACAGTATATTCTTCTGGATGGTTAGGTTAGAGCACTTTAGTACAACAGTTTTTGACAATGGGAATGCTAGCGAGAATGGGCTGAAAATATGATATTTGTATAATGTTGTATCATTAAACATTTATGCTTTGTTCCATAGGTGTGCTGTATCATGTAAGTGACACTGGTAACTGTGTTGAGGTTCTTCAGGCTGATGGTGGCATTAAACGACTTTTACATCATGAATCCAAAAACCTGCTTGTAGTCATCACGGAGGGCATGGTTCTAGGGCAGTTTTCTGTTGCTCCAGATGGATCTGTCACTGAGGTCAATAAGGTACAGTATTTAAATGTTTTGAGGTTAATTGCTAGCTATATATAAATCTTTTACCAGATTGACATATTCTGCCTTGCAGTTTGTTCTGAGACTTGTGTTGATGGTGACCTGATCAAGGTTTGGATGCCACTTCTTGGAGGAAAGGGTCACTTGATGTGCTTGGTAGCTAGTAATCAGTATTGACTCTGTGCTTTGATTGTGATAGCTTCACACATGTATCAAATGATTTCTTGAAGGATGGGGAATGTTTCTTGACCTTTTAAGACTTTTTTTTTTCGTTTGCAAGAGATTTGCCTCATTACTGGGTTGATCTCTGATCCTCGAGTGTTCCCTGCACAATAGAGGGAACAAGGTAGATTTGCAAGAGCCTTTGTCCTGGAAGGTAGAGTTGCACAGGTGTGTGGCATGACTAGTTTGTCTGGTCATGTCTAGTCAGTGCATAGGTTAATAGGAGCTACTGATGCTGTGCCCAGAAAGGGGTGTTTCATTATATTCGGTATGCTAAAATATATTTGTAATGTAGGTATAAAATATTTGTTATTCACTATAGAAATAAATGTAATGGTTTGCATTTCAGGTCAAGTTGAGTGGGCGAGGAACTGAGGTACAGGTTACATGGGCAGGCAGTGGTCTGCTGGCTGTGTCAACTGGAGATGGTTCTGTGCGTCTCTGGAATTTAGACTCCGGGGATAATTATGTGCTAAGTTTATCTGGACCAAGCTATCGTGATCAAGAGTATATCATGTGTTTAACTTATTCAGAAAATAAAAGTGAGTTTTACAAATACAATGTAATACTGCGGATCATATTTCTTTATTTTACAGTATTTTTTCTTCTCTTTAAGAGATCTGCAATTGTATGAAGAATAGGAATTTATTTTTAAAGTTCTCCAGGCCAGCCACCCCAGCCAGACACACATTAGACTGAATAGAAGTTATTGTACAAGAGGTAAAATAACACCTGGAAAACTAGATGTAGCAAGAGCAGAAGGACCAGGCTGGGGTGGGGGGTAATCACTGTGGTTGCTGAAGGCTGTTCTCCTGGGATTCTAAGATATTCCCTAACTTTTAACAAGTCATTATTGCCTAGTGGAGACCAGGGCCAAAATCTGGCCCTTCCCCCATGGTAGAGAGAGGTAAGGGGGAGACTGGAGAAGCAAGATCACCACAGCACTAAAAGAAAGACTATCTGAAAGATAGTGTGTACCAAACCAGGCAACTGCAGGGACAACATTGGCATCCCTGATCTGAACTATGTGCATACTCATTGCCTAGGTGGACCTAAACAATAAGTGTGTATATAGTTTGAATTGGACTGTAAATGTTGTCCAAGCAGATGCTTGTTTTGGTACACTCGACCTTTCTGGTGGTCTTTCCATTGGGTAGTGTGGTGATCTTGTACCTCCAGTCTTCCCTTGCCTTTACTGATGGGGGCTAGATTATGGTTCTGGTCTCCTGGTAGGAGCTTGTGATTCATTAAAATAGCCGTTTGGTACCCAAGGTTTGGAAGATTCCAGGTGGGTAATTTCCGAAGCTACAAAAGTACCCCATCAGAATGATGCATTGCATTGCATTCAGTGCTAGATTTCTATTATTTATTTATATATTTTGCTTTTTAATACCATAATGTTTTATATTTTTGTGGGTGTGTAATATAGAGGAAGGATTTGTTACTCAATGGTTGACTATGTTCGACAAGTTAAAGAATACAGGTATACTGTAGGCTCTACATTGTAAATAACATTCAATCGAAAATGGTATATTGTTCTGTATCATGATGAAGAGAAACTATATGTTTATATAAAAAGAATTTTCCATTTCCTTCAGAGATCTTGTGTGCAGGAACAAATCTAGGGAGCGTGGCCATGTGGAAGTTTGAAGAGCACAAGCCCGGAGAAGATGAGTACACGAGTGACCCAGAGAAAGACTGGAAGTTGCAAAATCCTTCGATCATCTCTGGAGCAGTAAAACAGGTAAAAAGTTCTGTCTGCTTTAACACTTAAAGTTTAGTGTATGAATGACATTCACCACTGCCGTGATTTGGTAGTATGTACAAGTACAGAATTAAATTAAACTATGTAGTGCTCAAAAGAGAACTTGATAAACACCTCCTACAGGATACCTGATCATCCAGGCTGTGATTCATAAACCAGACTGTGAGGAGCAGCATATAACAGCCAGGTTGTTACACCAACGAGGAGGCCTGGTCAGAGACCAGGTTGTGTAGAGACTATAGAATGTCTCTATAGCCTGGTATATAACAGCAAAGCTGTTATTTTTTTTTTTTTGAGATATATACAAGAGTTGTTACATTCTTGTACTCTCCATCTGCTACTGCTCAGTCTGATTCCGGGAACTATCACAAGGTAGACACAAAAATAGGTAATTCATTTGTTTCATAAATTTATGAAACACAAATTCCATCATATTTTGTAGATGAAACATTCATATATACTGTAGTGCATTTTGGATTTTGGCATGCCAGGGAGTTGGTGTCAGTTGTGTTGTGAGGTGTTTTGCTGTGATGACTCCTCTTTGCCAGTGGGTAGAGCTGAAGATAATTATAATGATGGAGGTTTGTCCTTTGTATTTCTTAAGAGTTCTGTTTTCAGATTTTGCAATTTGATAGGTATGATTTGACTTTGGCAAATTTAAGAGCATTTGGAAAACATTCATCTCTTAATTACATTTAATTAAATTGTTAATTAAGAGATAAAATACATTTATCTCTGAATTATCAAGAGACACTGCCAGTGGCAGTTGTTATTAGTCTTTGCTGCCAGTTGTTGACAGTCTTAGTTTAGAATCATGAGGTTGAGCAGATTCAGAACTTGAATACAAAATTTGTAGTGTATTATTTCTGCTATGTCTTGTTACAAAGCCTGTATGCATATGTGATTATTGGGAAAACTAGTTTAGAATATGTTAAAAAATTCAAAATTTAATCCAGTTTATGTTTGACCTTTAACTTAACCCAGCAATTTCAATAAAATATTATCTTTGACCTCTATTAGTTCCTCTATAACAAATATTTATTTAGCAGTATTTTGTGAGTTACAACACTCAATTGTTGCATTAAGCAAAGACTAATTCATCCTAGGAAACAGTCATCCTCACAACTTGTCTGGCTATTCACATGGTGCTGTGGAGGTCAAGAATCAGTTAAGTGAATGTAGTTCATTCTTGAAACTGTGCTTTCCATGCTGGGGGTAATTCTGTAATAAGTAGACCTCTCCATGGTGTTGTGTTAAAATTACTAGCGTGTCTCTGGAATTTTGCCAGTGGGCGTATAAAGTTTCCCTTTCTCTGTGCTGGTTTTTTCATGCCTACAACATGGTCATTATCCTTGTGAATTTGTCCACTGCTTTCACAGTGTCATGGGACTTGAAGTTCCAAGTCTCAGGAATTCTTCCATATTAATTTTGTCGATTTCAGCTACTATTTCTTGTGTAGCAATCATGTTGCCTCTTCTTCTTCTGTCCAGTGTTAGCATATTTAATGCCTCTGACATTTCCTCATACCTCTTGTCTTTCAGTTCTGGGAGCCATTTAGTTTCATGTCTTTGCACCTTTTCCAGTTAGTTGGTGTGCTTCTTAAGATATGGGTACCATACAGCTGGTGCATATTCCAGCTTTGGTCTCACTAAGGTCATAAACAATGTCTTTAATATTTCTCCATCCATGAACAGTGGAACCTCGGTTTTCCTATGCTCCTGTTTTCGTATTTTTCGTTTCTCGTACTCAGTTTCTTCGAAAAATTTAATTCGGTACACGTTTGCCTTGGTATTCGGAATTTGTTTATACATGTATGGGTCCACCGAATGCGTGGTTCTGTTCTGCTGGGCGAGAGGCGGGATGAGGAGTGCACAGTTTACCAGTGTCTCCCGCTTAATGACGATCACACATGAATGTTTTATTTAGGAGGACAACAAGATGGATGATGAGGGGGACTGGATGGATGGATGGTGAGGGGGGACTGAATGGATGGAGGGTGAGGGGACTGGATGGATAGATGGTGAGGGGACTGGATGGATGGATGGATGGATGGATGGTGATAGTACTGGATGGATGGAGAGGGGACTGGATGGATGGATGGTGAAAGGACTGGATGGATGGATGGTGATAGTACTGGATGGATGGATGGTGAGGGGACTGGATGGATGGATGGATGGATGGTGAGGGGACTGGATGGATGGTGAGGAGATTGGATGGATAGATGGATGGTGAGGGGACTGGATGGATGGATAGTGGAAGGGGACTGAATGGATGGATGGTGGAGGGGCGGGCAGCAAAGTGGGTGGATAGGTGGGCAACAGTGGTCAGGCAGGTGTCAGTGTGTGCAGGCGGGCAATAGTGAGATAGTTGGCAGAGCTGGTCACCCTCCCCACTACCTCCATCCCCCCATCCCGCTCCCTCCACACTGCCTCCATCCCCTCATCCCCCCACATAGGACTCCTCCCCCCCCAGATGTACCTCTCCCAGCCATATGGACGGTGTTAATTTTTTTATTATTAATACGGTGGGCTTCCTTGCTACCAGCATGATGGATCGAGAAGCATATTCCCTGAGCGCCTGTCATTGAACTCATATATTTTACTGACCGACTGGTTGCGACTGTAAAACCCTGATTGACTGTGAAAGCTTGATTGACTGAATGCTTGATTGACTGTAAATGGCTGATTGACTGTGAATGCCTGATTGACTGTGAATAGCTGTCAATCTATTCTCCCCCACAAGCACAACCAGGGGAGGACAACTAGGTGAGAACAAAACCTGGAAGGAAGAAGAGAGTACAAAGAATACCAAGAAAAGATTCAGGGGACGAAAAACTAAACAAAAAGCACCGAAGACCAAGGCTGCTTCCCACAGTGTAACGAAAAACAAGAAACACTGACCAAGGAAGGCCACAGCAAGACCCACACAAAGTGGTCAAGCAAAACACACAACACCCACACCCCACCAAAATCGAGAACAAGCGCCCGCCCGACAGTGTCGCCAGACCGCACAATCTCATCCTCTAAGGAAGGGAGCCCACTGGTCAGACCCTTACAGCACGGCTGGAGGAACAGGCTCGAAGGCCTCCGCCGCCACCCCGGAAGAAGAAAACCCCCGAGACTGCCTGAGTCTCAACACCAATGAAACCCTGTCCCGACCCCAAACCTGCAGATATTACGGAGCTGGAAGCATGGAGGGAGGATTCAAATGCACAACTGAAGGGGGATGGACCAGAAGGGGTGGGCGGAACCAGAGCTGAAGCGACCCCCACCCCCAAGTCCGGGTCCCTATAACCAAAACGGGGCAGTCTCGGGGCATCTGGGGCTGCAATCAACCCAGCTCGTTGCAGCAACCTAAACCTAGCATGCAATGTGGATGCTGCCTGTACCCGCATATCAGAATGAGTAGCGTGGGGAACTGGAGTACGAATAGACAACAAACGTCACACGACTCCGGGCCAAAGCATCACTGACACAACAGGCAGCAAGGCGGAGGCATAATCGATGAATGTCACCCTGAGACAAGGGGACAGAGCAACCCATCAAACTCGCAGGAAGCGAGAGGGGACTCAAGGGTCACCTCGATTGGACCACAGAGCACCCATGGGGTTTTCCAGGGCCCTTAGCCTTGTTTACATGCTCAGGGAAGCCCAGGCAGGGTACTGTAAACCGGCACCCAAGTCTACCAAACAAACTGCTAAAAGCTGAACCCCCGGGACGTGTCCACTCACAGGGCCAAGTGGGAGACTCCACCTTAACAGGAGAAAAACACAAACCCTGACCAAGCGAAGAGAAGAACAGGGAGACCCTCCAACCAGGCAGAAAACAAAAACAAAAGAAAAACCCCGCAAGAGGACACGTACCCAGGCGGAACAGAACCGGCCGCTATAATTGTAGAAGACTAGCTGTGCAGTACCTCGCGCCCCTACCAATAATGAAAACTACCTCCTACCCAGAGACAAACTTGGGCAAAAAAAAAAAAAACAGCTGACCCCAAGGGCGGCCCAGTACCGAGCAGTAAAAGACACAGCGGAGGTAGATCCCAAGGAGACTTGTGGAAGGTGGCCCCAAGCCCCCAAGGGAAGTACTCACAGGGCACCTAGGAAAGAAAACCCTAGGCGCATGCAGCCTGAGTACCGTGGAATATCACTCCTGGCTCTCACACCACCAGTAGAGACAGCCCACACTACAAGGCACAGAACTGAAACAAAAGTAGAGCCAAAGGCACCTGACTGGCCAGTAAACCCATCAGCCACGAACTACCAGTTGGATTGCCGGCGTGGAGGGTCTGGGGCTCCCCCTACCCCTTCCCGGAGAGAGGAGAGTTGCACAGACGGTGGTGCGGCGACGTGATGACGTCATGCTAGTTTGCTACTTTTGTTTGGGGAGTTCTGTCCACTTGTTCAGCTTTCGGTAGCAATATTTTCACCAGAATAGGGGTTTGTTTTTAGGCGCCTACCTATCTGGGTGCCTATCCCGGTCGATGGCAAACATAGAATGCTCCCAACCACACAAGGGTTTCTATAGGCCATTGCTCCTCGTGCCTCTCTGAGGGAGCCAGGTTCTGGCTCGTGGTCCCCAGTAGGCAAGAACTCCATTCACCTTGACTTATGCGAGAAAGTTATACATATACATTCAGCCTGGATAGCTCCGGGGAGCCTCTGGGACTCGCCCAGAAAATAGGGTTTCATTACATACAACGGTGGGTTTTTTAGGTCTAGATAAATGCAGTCAACCTAACTTCAGTATCTCTTTTTTCTTTTTCTGTAAAATCTCTGTGGGTCTGTCAAAGAAACGAAGTAAATTCATGACACAGGATTTTCCAGATTGAAAACCATACTCTCTGTCTGTTATTATGTAATTTTTCTCCAGGTGTTCTACCCATTTGATTTTAACTGTGCATGAATTTAGGTGTGACAAGCAGATAATTTTTTTTTTTTTTTTTGCACCTGATTGATTCTGCTCAGAAAAGGGCTTTTTCACATTAAGTCAAAGCCTTAATTTTTGTTTAAACCAAAGTAAATGTAGGTTGTGTGTACTATATAGCACCAATTTGCTATAATATTACATCATACTGAACAAGCACACTTAGTCTTTACAATCCTCTTTCTCTCATTTGTTCAAACACTTTTATTTTTCAGGTTGCATGGGGGTCTACTCAAAATTTATTAGCTGTAAACACTGTCCGTGATGTTTATATATTAAATGAACAACGCATGGTGGCTAGCTACAAAGATCAGGTTAGTGTGTCATTTTTAATGATTGTAATATCTTTTATACCAAGATCTTTATTTGTGTGTGTTAATTATAGACTGAGAGAAACACTAAGATGAGAGTATAACTAACTAAGAATGTTTTAATTATAAGAACTTTATCAAATCTTGCAGATGGAGGCAAGGTTAACTTAACAAGGTAAAAAAGGTGAATAATGTATACTGTATTAAAATAACTCTCTGGTGGGTCCCTCGATGACTCCCCCAAGCTTTCCACATGGGTACCTACACACTTTAAACACTCCACCAGTCTCCTACGATCACCAGCATCTACCATCGTCTTTAAATCAATTACAGTGGTACTTATGTTTACGATTGTAATCAGTTCCCAGAGACGTGTTGTCAACCATTAAATTGTCAACCAAAATGAAGTTTTCCATAAATAATGTAAATTAAATTAATCCGTTCCATACCCCCAAAAATATTAACTTAAAAATACATTTTATATCGAATGACACTCATTTTGTACTAGCTACAATCCAGTACTGTATGTATATCTTACCTTGAATGAGGACTCTTGTTGGTGTATGGAAGACTGTGAGGAGGAGGAGAGGTGTTAGTGTTTGGGAGGGGGAGTCCCCTTCCATTATAACAGCAGTGATGACATTTCTGAGGAACTCTTTCTTTTACATTTTACAGGCATACCACTAGGACATGGTTGTGGTTCACTGCTCGCTTGTCTTACTACAAATCTGTCTAAAGACATTTATTTTTCATATGCAGGCAACGAGTCTCATTAACGTGACTAAAGTACATTGACCAGACCACACACTAGAAGGTGAAGGGATGACGACGTTTCGGTCTGTCCTGGACCATTCTGAAGTCGATTGTCAATCGACTTGAGAATGGTCCAGGATGGACCGAAACATCGTTGTCCCTTCACCTTCTAGTGTGTGGTCTGGTCAACATACTTTAGCCACGTTATTGTGACTCGTCGCCTGCATATGAAAAACAAATGTCTTTAGACAGATTCTTAGTAAGACAAGCAAGCAGTGAGCCACAACCATAGACGATCATTGGTGTGGTGGTCACGGTACTGTGTACGTTTAGGTACACAGTACACAAATGCAAACAAGCCTGAATGGTCCCCAGGACTATATGCGACTGTACGAACCCATGCCATCCTAGATGGCATGGGTTCGAATCCTGGCCGGGTCAAAAAGAGTTCTTTGTGATATATATATATATATATATATATGTCGTACCTATTAGCCAGAACGCACTTCTCAGCCTACTATGCAAGGCCCAATTTGCCTAATAAGCCAAGTTTTCATGAATTAATATATTTTCTCTATTTTTTTTCTAATGAAATGATAAAACTACCCATTTCATTATGTATGAGGTCAATATTTTTTTATTGTAGTTAAAATTAACGTAGGTATATGACCGAACCTAACCAACCCTACCTAACCTAACCTAACCTAACCTATCTCTATAGGTTAGGTTGGGTTAGGTAGCCGAAAAAGTTAGGTTAGGTTAGGTAGGTTAGGTAGCCGAAAAACAATTAATTCATGAAAACTTGGCTTATTAGGCAAATCGAGCCTTGCATAGTAGGCTGAGAAGTGCGTTCTGGCTACTAGGTACGACATATATATATATATACAGTATATATATATATATATAATTTTTTTTTTTGAGATGTATACAAGAGTTATTACATTCATATATATATATATATATATATATATATATATATATATATATATATATATATATATATATATATATATATATATATATATATATATATATATATATATATATATATATATATATATATATATATATATATATATATATACATATATATATATATATATACATATATATATATATACATATATATATATATATACATATATATATATATATACATATATATATATATATACATATATATATATATATATATACATATATATATATACATATATATATATATATATATATATATATATATATATATATATATATATATATATATATATATATATATATATATATATATATATATATATATATATATATATATATATATATATATATATATATATATATATATATATATATATATATATATATATATATATATATATATATATATATATATATATGCAATTATTGACGATCACAAAACACTGATCATTTTATGCGGAAAATCCACAGAGAAATATGAAATGAGGTGAACGTTTCGGCTTGTTAAAGCCTTTGTCAACACCAGACTGACCATCAGTCTGGTGTTGACAAAGGCTTTAACAAGCCGAAACGTTCACCTCATTTCATATTTCTCTGTGGATTTTCTGCATATATATATATATATATATATATATATATATATATATATATATATATATATATATATATATATATATATATATATATATATATATATTTTTTTTTTTTTTTTTTTTTTTTTTTTGAGATATATACAAGAGTTGTTACATTCTTGTACAGCCACTAGCACGCGTAGCGTTTCGGGCAAGTCCTTAATCCTATGGTCCCTGGAATACGATCCCCTGCCGCGAAGAATCGTTTTTTCATCCAAGTACACATTTTACTGTTGCGTTAAACAGAGGCTACAGTTAAGGAATTGCGCCCAGTAAATCCTCCCCGGCCTGGATACGAACCCATGACATAGCGCTCGCGGAACGCCAGGCGAGTGTCTTACCACTACACCACGGAGACTGTTATATATAACACACACACACACACACAGTATATATCAAATCAAATCAAATGTTTATTTAGGTAAGGTACATACATACAAGAGATTTTACAAAGAGTGATGGATTTATAGATAGGGCTAGTACATACAATGCCTGAAGCCACTATTACGCAAAGCGTTTCGGGCATGAAAAACTTAAATGACTAAAGCTTAATAGTAATTGAGCATAAAGAATAAAATGAGTTGAGAACAAATAAAAAAAGAGGTAAAAAGGGGGGGAACATGGCTGAAAAAGCAGCACAAATACAATTTGGTCAACAGTGTCATTTAAAAAAAACAGACATTGGTTGACAATAGAGGGGTAAGGTAGGTTACAGGGAATTTATTAGGTATAGCTTCATTTGTATCTTAAACTGGTTGAGAGAGGTACAGTCTTTAACATGGTTGGGAAGGTCATTCCACATTCTGGGTCCCTTGATTTGTAGAGCATTTCTAGTTTGATTAAGTCGTACTCTAGGAATATCAAAACTGTATTTATTTCTGGTGTGGTGCTCATGGGTTCTGTTACAGAACCCATGAGCACCATGAGCAACGCAACTGGTATCTACAGGAAAGCGGATTAAGGCGTCCTGTAGATACCAGTTGCGTTGCTCCTGGCAGTATGGGTTCGAGTCACTTTTGGGGTGTGAGTTTTCAGTCGCATATATTCCTGGGGACCATTCAGGCTTGTTTGCATTTGTGTTCCTCACGTGTGCCCCAAAGAATGAGGTGATTTGATAAAATGCTATCCCCAAGATTACCATCCGAGTGCCGGCGGGAAAGTGGTTCAAATAGCTTCAAATATCACGCTCAGGAGTCAAATTTTCGACATTTCAGATATTTTGAAAACTGCAGAGGGGTTTTGGCAAAATAAGACCTATCTCTGTTTTCAGTAATTGGCATATTTTTGGTATAAAAAGTCGTAATTTGAAAACGAAAATAGGTGCCAAGAGTCAGAATTTGGCTCAAAAATCACGCCCAGGAGTCAAATTTCCGTCATTTCAGATAATTTGAAAACTGCAGGGGGGGTTTGGAATAAATATGACCCATCGCTGTTTTCAGTAATTGGCATATTTTCGGTATAAAAAGTTGTAATTTGAAAATGAAAATAGGTGTAGAGAGTCAGAATTCAGCTCAAAAATAACGCTTAGGAGTCAAATTACCGACATTAAAGATATTTTGAAAACTGTAGGGGGGTTTGGGCAAAATATGACCCATCGTCGTTTTCAGTAATTGGCATATTTTCGATATAAAAAGTCGTAATTTGAAAATGAAAATAGGTGCAGAGAGTCAGACTTCGGCTCAAAAATCACATTCAGGAGTCAAATTTCCAACATTTCAGATATCTTGAAAATTGCAAGGGGCTTTGGGCAAAATATGACCCATCGCCGTTTTCAGTAATTGGCATATTTTCGGTATGAAACGTCGTAATTTGAAACTGACAATAGGTGCAGAGAGTCAGAATTCGGCTCAAAAATCACGCTCAGGAGTCAAATTTCCGACATTTCAGACTTTTTGAAAACTGCAGGGGGGTTTGGGCAAAATATTACCCATTGCTGTTTTCAGTAATTGGCATATTTTCGGTATGAAACGTCGTAATTTGAAACTGAAAATAGGTGCAGAGAATCAGAATTCGGCTCAAAAATCACGCTCAGGAGTCAAATTTCCGACATATCAGAAATTTTGAAAACTGCAGGGGGGTTTGGCAAAATATGACCCATCGCCGTTTTCAGTAATTGGCATATTTTCGGTATAAAAATTCGTAATTTGAAACTGAAAATAGGTGCAGAGAGTCAGAATTCGGCTCAAAAATCACGCTCAGGAGTCAAATTTCCAACATTTCAGATATCTTGAAAATTGCAAGGGGGTTTGGGCAAAATATGACCCATCGCCGTTTTCAGTAATTTGCATATTTTCGGTATAAAAAGGCGTAATTTGAAAATGAAAATAGGTGCAGAGAGTCAGAATTCGGCTCAAAAATCACGCTCAGGAGTCAAATTTCCGACATTTCAGACATTTTAAAAACTGCAGGGGGGTTTGTGCAAAATATGACCCATCGCCGTTTTCAGTAATTGGCATATTTTCGGTATAAAAAGTCGTAATTTGAAACTGAAAATAGGTGCAGAGAGTCAGAATTCGGCTCAAAAATCACGCTCAGGAGTCAAATTTCCGACATTTCAGACATTTTGAAAACTGCAGGTGGGTTTGGGCAAAATATGACCCATCGCCGTTTTCAGTAATTGGCATATTTTCGGTATAAAAA